ATTAGTAAAGTGCAAGGAAGTAGGAAAAGAGAAAGACCACATTACAGGTAGATTGATTCAATCAAGGAAACCACAGCCCTGAGACTGCAAGATCTGAGCAGGATTGTTGATTTTTAGGACTCTTGTAAGTCTTTCATTCATTGGATTACCATATTCAAAGTCAACTTGACTGCAAATAAGAACAATTCTCCTGATTCAGGCTTCTTTATTCTGTCCCAGTCCACACCCAACTGGTCAATATAGGCTTTACTTCTAGGCTGGCTAGTGGTTTGTTGTTGTTGTTGCTGTTGTTTTGCACTTGTCACTGATTGAAAACTTTAGGAAAAAAAGGATATTAAGATGTTTTTCAAACCATGTTGTACCACTACTGGATAGAAATAAAGATGCAAGCAGCTATTAACTATGTGATCACAGCTGGTTGGTAGTGTGGAATAGAAATGTACAGACAAAATTGTGAACACCAAAAGAAAATTTTCCAAGTATCTCTCTGATAGAGAACTCTAGTATTAAAGTTTAGGGGAGTGAAGAAGAGCTTCTGCCAAATAATTCCAGTTACCTCATCAAACTACAAAGCCCAGAATTTTATTAATATATTTTCCACAAAACAGAATGGCTTACATGCAAACAAAAACTTCACAAAAATAATCCCCACATACCAAAGTAAAGAAAATCTTTTGGATGTTTGAGGAGCCTTTTGCCATCAAGGACAAGAAATTCTATTATTATTCTTTACATCACTAATTCATCCAGAAATCTATGTAGCATAACATTCTTTTTTTTGCATTGGCTATCCAGAAGTTTATGAAAGCTGTTAGTGCAATAGCATATTTCTACTCATCTTCCCTAGCAACTGGGTAGGAAAGACACACAGAGAGCATTCAACTCTGATACTAGAAGTAACATATAGCTAATAGTCAGCATGACTGCTAACCACTGATAGTTGGTTATCAATGAATCAGATAGGGAGGGAAGGTGTAAGCTTAATTGAAGGCAAACATGACTGAGGAAGTTGTGCCTGCCTCAGATTGGGGTTACCCTATTTTGAGCAGGGGTGGTCTAATAATTGACCATTCATACTCCAAATGATCACCCTACTTCTAGCAGTTACATCATGCTCAGCTGAAAATTTTATATCCTTTCATTAGCTTGTAGTCATTTTTATACATGCTAGGAGCCAGGTCCCACTGAAACAGCAAGGCAGCTTTCTGAGTAAACAAGCTTAGGATGAGGCTTTAATTCCAGGAAAATGCACTCAGTGCTCTGTGTCAATAGGTTTCCAGAGGTTGTTATACAATGCACACTGAGCTTGTCTCAAAATGTGTTCCACCATATTTATTTTCTGTACTGGAGGTAGAAGATGGGGTGTTAGCCAAATAAAGCAGCAAGAAAACATCATTTTCTTGTCTCATTGTATCTGATCAGGTGTGCATTCAGCTCTCCATTCCCTGATGAGATAGAAAACCATCTACATTTACCCTGACAGCTTGAAATGTGGTAGCATGCTTGAAGAACAAGAGGGGAAGGATTTTAGTCTGTTTAAATGGTGAGGTTGCAGCAGTGTAACACTGCTACTCCAAACAGTGCATGTCACTGGTTTATAAGTACTTTTACACTAAGGAATTTTCTCTGCTTGCAGTTTTCATTCTCCTTGGCTTCAGCTCTCAGTTGTGGGACCAAATAAAAATGTTGCATCTCAAACTGAAGCAGACTTGGCATTTCAAATTGCATAAATCAATGGTAAATGAGTAAATTAATGAAGATTTTGTGCCTTTGTCACTCATCTCAGCTTGCCTTGAATTTATATATGGATAATATAATGTACTGGGCTTGTATCATGACCCATCTTTAGGAGGTCTTCAGGTACAAAATATACCCATAATGTCTGAAAACAATGAAGCAACATATTATGGAATTTCATATCAAGCTCTTTTAACAAAATCATTACATCTGATGATATTTCTGTAATAATGTTCTGTCCCAATTACTTCATTTTTGCTTTCAACCAAAGTTCTGCACAACTGGCTTCTTTAATTTTTTGACCTTATTTTTGGGTAGAGAAAACAATCCATTGCACTAAAAATGCTTTCACTTTAACTGACATGGTTCCATCCTATGGAAACCTGGAGTGTGCACATGAAGGATGACATTTAGTATTCTTGTCTAGAAAGCTCTAGTCAGTGCCTTACCAGACTACAAATCCCAGGTTTCTGTAGGATGCAGCCATGCCAGTCAAACTGGATTTATAGTACTATAACTGTGCAGTATGAAAAGCTTCCAAGATTTTGTAGAAAAAGGGAGAATGGTGACAGTCACAACAATTGGTAAAGACCATTCAGGGGAAATTATCTGCAAAGGACCTTTTCCTAACGTGAGAGAATGATCTTAGCAAGTCTTAGAAAATTTATTTCAGCTACATTTTCAGTAAAGATTGTCTTATTGCCTTACAAGCCCTCCCTCTCCATGAGGGAGATGGAAATCTTGGGGATTTTGATAGAACCAGAAGAGTGCTTTGTCCTGTAGACAGACCTAAAAACCTTCTGCTGCAAGTTTTGTCAGCCCACAGGACTCAAAGTGGAAGGGGAAGCACATCTTGATACTAGTGCAGTATTGGATATAATCCTTTGTAAGAGATGATTTTCTGTTCCACTGCTAGTTTCTCCTGCAGATGTAAAAGGGTTACATTTGTTTTGTGATTTTCTAATCTTAGCTCTTAATGACTACACATCATTATGTGGCAAGTCTATCTGCAACACATTGCACTTGGACAGCATCCATATGAGTTGAGAGATGGTTTTGGACTCATGAAAAAAAGGATGTGCTGTGTGGAATAATTTATTTCCAAAAGGAATACTATGAAGTTTTCAAAGAAGAGGAACAAAATCTTTTGACAGCAAGGTGGGAGTGGGGAAGATACCTCTACCTACTCCCATGAACATCAAGAGAGTGAGGGAGAGGAGACAGGTGAGGATCTGGAATCTATAGCCTTCCAGGATCCTCTCCTAATTCCCATCCCTGATTGCCCAAGCATGGCACTAGGAAAGGCAGTTGATAAATGTTGAGGCTATAGCTTTACCATATTTGTTCTGCTACCTGGTTCACAATTATGCATTCATGTCAATTTCCAGCTATTGGAGCACAGCCTGAAACAAGGATCCTCATGGGACAGGAAATATGGAGGAAGAGAGGAACAGCCCTTGAGTCTATTTGATGATGTGTGGTAGGGAACCAAGGAGAATACTTCTTATCTGGGTTTCAGACACTCAAAAAGTGAATTTCTTAGCAACCCCCCACCAGCACTCAAATATTCCTTCCACCCTTGTAAAGTACTGACTTGATTGTACAATTTGATCTAAGCCAAATAAAGAGTTAACACTTATGCAAGATGAGCATTGGCTTTTCACAGAAGGAATTATTTAAAAGGCTGTACCCATGTCAGTGAGGTATAGTGCTTTGAGTGTTGGACTATGACTCTGGAGAACAGGGTTCAAATCCCCAGTAAGCCATGGAAATCCACAGGGTGACCTTGGGCCAGTCCCACTCTCAGTCTCAAAGGATGGTAATGGCAAACTCTCATTGAAGAAACTTGCCAAGAAATTTCCATGATAGGTTTGCCTTAGGGTCACCATAAGTTGGAAACAACTTGAAAGCAAACAACAACAACAACAACAAACCATGCATTCTCATTTAATTCCCTCACTTTTTCTGTCTATTTAGATTAACCTGATAGTTTCCCTCTGAGTAAAGAAGATAAATAAAGCCAGAACGCTCTAATATTTCTCTATTCACTGAAAATGAAAAAAAAAAAAGTTATTGTGATTCACAGGCCAAAGAAAATAGTCCAAAAGCTTTGGTTAGTGTGATTAAGATTTGCAGGGCTGGTTCTAGTGTACTACAGAAGGAACTCTCTGTGTCTGTTATAGCCTCTATTTGGCCAGGCATAAAGTAAAAGCCATGGTTTCTACAAAACTTCTCTTGGACACGTATATTTGTCTGATTAAATTGTCTGTGGTGCATAATGAAATAAAATCAACTTGACAGATCATCTTGCTGACTCAGAGCAAGCTGTGTTGTATTCTCTTTTGGTTTATCAGTCACCCTTCAGATGGGAAGAGAGTGGGGGACAGAGATTAGAGGCAAGCTGAGAGTCCCTGGCAACTGCCAGCTGTGGATGAAATGCCCACTGAGTTCAGATGCATGCTTTCCTTTTTGATCATCATTTGTTATTTTAACAAAGAGGCAGGCTTTTATGCTGTCTTCCAGATTACCTAACTATGATGACATCTGACCTCAGCTAAGGTAAATCCAAAATGCAGTGTTGGAGCTTTGTAACAAATGTTTGTTTCTTGTTTAACAGGCTTACACAAACACACCTTAGAGTTACGACTCATATAAGATAGTAATTTCATACAGGCACTTCAACATATTGTAATGCACAGCAGAAATGTTGAATTTTTCAACTATGGTGCAGATATTTAACAACATTCACCCTAAAAACACAATACCTTAACTCTGTAGAGTTGTACCCCCATCCCATAGCATGTGTCTACTTGGGCATCTATCAGGATATCAGTGAATCAAGATTCTGAAAAATGAATTTTCCTTACTACTCTAGGTGTTCAAGGGTTGACTGCTATTGCCTCCTGCCAAAGCAGAGATGTTGGAATAGATTTTGCTCTTCAGGAAACTGCTGCCCATCGTTAGGCCTTCTTTGCTTTTGTAGACCTCATAGAGCTTTTTTTGTTTTACTTTGGTCCACTCAATTCATCATGGTCCAGACCACAAATTAGGGTCTACTACCTTTTGGTTTGGCATCCTCCCCCTCTCCCCCGGTGTTTCTTATAGGATAACTCCCTTCCATCTTTGTTGTGTGCCCTCAAGTTGTTTTCAGTTTATGATGAATCTATCATGGGGTCTTCTTGGCAAGATTTGTTCCAGGGTGGTGGTAGTTGTTTTTCTCTTCCTCTGAGGCTGAGAGAATGTGATTTGCCCAAGGTTTCTAAGGTCAAGTGAGGATTCAAACCCTAGTCTCTAGAGTCCCAGTCTAATATTCAAACCACTGCACCACACTGGCTTTCTGTTTTATCTTGCCTGGCCATATTTCCAGTGCAGAGTCTGTCTGATAGCCTTTATATATTTTTAGCCAGCTGTCAGAATTTCAACCAGTACTTCTTGCACTCTCTCCATACAGAAACACATATCTTTCAACTTGTGATTTTCAACATACTTTAACTTTTAAGTGAATGTGCAGAGCAGGAAATGACAATTCATTACAACACTCAGTTACAATAATCATAACAGCTTTAACTGAGAAAACCCTTTCGATGCTAACAGAGCATCCTATGTACATCTATTTAGACTTCAGTGGAACTTATTCCCAGGCACACACACACACACACACACACACACATATATATATATATATATAGGATTGCAACTTCAGATCTTTTAAAATTAATAGGAATTTTAAAACAGTATCAAAAGATTGTAATTCAAACCCCATTATAGAGATTTTTACACTGGGACATCTTTTTTACTTTTCTCTGAACAGCATCTCCCAGTTGCTTTACTCTGCTTTTTATAACTCTGGGAACCAATTCAGAGAAATAAAACATGACAGGAAAGACATGTAACATTTATAGTGGAGACACAAAAAATTCTTTGAGCAGCTCTGCTGCATAAGCATAAGAAAAGCCCTTTGGACCAAGGACTGGCAAGTTTACTCCTGCACAGGAAGACTCCACAGTTAAAACCCTAGTTAAACTCTGTTTGCTAAGAATATTATAGCTGTAAATCCAAATAATAATTTTCCTGCCTTTTGTGAGAGTTTTCTCTCTATTTGAATTCAATAAAATGCTTATCATTGAAGGGGGATGATGATGATGATGATGATGATGATGATGATGATGATACTGATTGTGTTACACTCCAGGAAAAAAGCTAAGGCTCTCCCATGTTACTTGTACAGTTGTCTTTTAAAGGTCTGTCAGTCAGTATTTCATTCATACAAATCAATACTTAGACTCCAGTATGGAAACTACCTGAGCAGAACTGTGTCCCTAGCAATGACCCTGAAAAGAACACTAAGCTAGCGGGAAGGAAATGGCTCAGGTAGGTGTATGCTTTGTATTTTTTTAAAATCAATCATTTGTTTTGTCTCTTCATTTCCCACACTGCACAGACACATCCTAGTTCATTATTTTTCCCTTCCATCAAAAGAAGCATGAAGCTGTTGGGGATTTAGATTCCTCCCCCTCTAGGAATTTGATTTCTGCTTCTTGGCCAGTCAATTGAGATCAATTTCTTCCTTGGGGACTGAACATGTTGCACCCATGAGGCATACAGTAGTTGTCAATAAGAATACAATTTTCAGTCTTGAATTGTGAAGAAAGACAGAACATATCCTATAACACAAAGACAGGGGTAGAAAGTCTCTGGACTCTCTTGTTAAAGACTGCACAGGCCATATTCCTGATCAAGTTAACAGACTACATCATCTTAAAACCCAGCAGCAATATAATAACAATGAATAATGTGCATTACATAAAACAGCAGCACCTCAGTTGTCCTCCAAAGTCATGATCTATTCACATACAGTTCTCTCTCTCTCTCTCTCTCTCTCTGTGGTTTTACAGGAAAAATGTAATACTATATAGTTGCCATAAAATTATCATTGCAGGTTAGTATACTGGAACTGTAAAAAAGTGGGAAAATGCCTTACTTATGCTGAAGTATCACAAATAATCAAAGGTATTTAGAACATGAATTCTGTGTTAGCTTGGCATTAAAACTGTACCAGACTATTTGTGTTTTTAGTAATACTCTGTAGGGTGTAATCTTGTGCTCAGATACATGAGTTAGAAAACTAATGACTTCTACAGAGCTGTTCAGCCCAGTCTACATCTTGAAGGCACAATGTCACCAGGATCCTTGTATTAGTGTTGGGCTGAAGCACTTGGCTGAGATATTTCCTGACAAGTATGAAAAGGGGTGGGAGGTGACAAAAGCTCCTGGAGATTCTTGCAGTCCTGAGAGGTTGAGGATCAATTTCTGAAATTATAATTTCAAAGCACTATTATAATTCCAAGTGCTAATCAGGCCTGACCCTACTAAGGCTTCTGCGATCAGCATGGATCTGGTGCCTTTTGGCTAGTGAGCAACACATATTTTAAAAGTAATTTTAAATTTTAAAAGTAATTTTGAAATTTAAATAAATATGGTTTACAAATCTGCTGCCATATCAATAGACTACAACCAACTCCCCCCCCCCCATGCTTCAGAACAATGATTTCCAACATGAGATACACATACCCTGATAGGTATTAACCAGGACATCACACACAATAAAAGAATGGTGGCAAGAAAATGTGCATACATCAATGGTGTAAGACAAAATGAATGGCAGATGACACAGTCCCAGCTCCTGAAGCATGTGCACCTGTAGCCCAAAGCTTCCCAACACAGCCTCCACCTCTTCTGAAGCTTCAATCTCTTGGCAAGCTCTGAGTGGTGGAAGCAAGCTCACATCACTGAGAGCTGAACCTGCTGAGCCTTAGCCAACAACTGTAGGAGATCGTCTCTACTCCCTCATCTTCCTCCCATTGTAAATGTGGGCACCCCTCAATGAATGAGTTCTTCCCCATCTTCTCTACATCTCTTTTCTTTATCATCATTTGAACCTTCAAAGTAGTTTTTCAATTCATGTATTATCCGACATGGATCAGTGGTTGAAAACTAGCACAGTAAAAAGCTGAAACTTAATGTGCATATTGCTGAATCACCAAGAATTTCTCAGGATGCCTCTAACACTTTAGTAATGCAAAACAGAAAGAAGGCTCAGTCTTCCATTCTTCAAACAGTTAAAAAGAGAAAATACTGTGATGAATACATGAAGTATTTTCATATATGGGAGATGAGAATGGTCCTAAATCCCAGTGTGTAGTGTGTGAGGAAATATGATCCTATAGTTGCATGAAACTTTCTTTACTTTTGTGGCATTTGCAAACAAAACATACCAGCTACACAAACAAACAATGCATAGGGTTTTTTTCACTGCCTAGTGAAACATCAGAATATGACATGGTGCTTGTTGTCAGCTAGCAATGGCTGAAAGCAGACAGATTGGAAAAGTTGGCTTACCCCCAGGATTTCCCAGTTTTTGGGGAAAACCTGCTGACTGCACCACCAGCTCTCACAACAGGCTCACAACTGATGAAGTTTGTACTACCCCCTCCCACTATATGGATTAATCTGTCAAAAGAGAGCATTCATGGCTACATGCCACACTGCATCATTATTTTTTCCCATTTCTTCACAAACACATACACACAAGCACATGGATGCTCTGCTAGCAGCTGCCAATCACCTCCCTCATTCTACCCAGTTGCCAGCCCATTGGACATCCCATGTGACCAGCTGCACCATCAATCAATGTGCGGCGCATGGGTTCACCCAGTGACATATTGGCACAACATTAGTGCTGCACCTGCACATGCCCCCTTTCTCTGCCATCCCCCATGGTCCCTCTTGGACTGGCCAGTTTGTTAATATTTTTATTAATGGCATTGTATTGTTAGTAAGCTGACATGTTTGTCATCATTTCATTCAGCGGGGTGTGAATTGGGTCAGTGGTATAGCTGACCACTCCTGTGCATCTGTGATTGATTCATGGGCAAGTCACAAACAAATTTGTGACCAGAAATGGTACTGGTAGATCACCCAGCCCAGGGTGCCCACTCCTGACCACTTCTGCTGGCTGTGTAACCTCTCCCCTTGTCTCTGGTCTAGCATGCAATCCACACACAGGTGTGATAGTTCAAGTCTGTTTTCCTTCTGTTTCAGCTATGTTTGTTGTATAAACAGATGAATTCCAAAATGGAGTGGGACTATTTCTTTCAGCCCATGAAGACAGTCCCAAAAACACCAAAAATGTGCTTGAAATTTCCTAGTGCATTAGTTATTGCATTTCTAGATGTGGTAATAGTCATACTATAGCTGGAATAGTCATACTATAGCTGGAATTCCAGCTATAGTCATACTATAGCTGGAAGTTTCAGCTATAGTCATACTATAGCTGGAAGTTTCAGCTTTTTACTGTGCTAGTTTTCAACCACTGATCCATACTATAGCTGGAATTTAATTCTATACACAGAATTAAATTCTGTGTATGTTTGGAGAAGAGCATGTGAGGAAAATGAACACTAGTCCACTTTCAAAGAATAGAGTATCTCAAATAATTCAGGATATGCCTGATGATGTTGAGATGACAGAAATAGATAGAATTAAAAATATTAAATTATGTGCTATTAAAGTAGATGGAAGCACAAATGTTGCTTATTTCACTTTTTTTGCTTGTTGTGAGATATTTAAAAGGTAATGAAGTTGAAGAAAAGTTTTTCTTTGTGTCAGACCACACAAGACATGAGTATATATTTAATGCTATTGATTACTATTTCAAAGAAAAGGACATTAATTGGTCTAATTGTTGTGGACTATGCATTCATGGGGAAGAGTCTATGTTGTGTGTTTACTCCAGTCTTCACAGTTGTGTCATGAAGGTAGCCCCCAATATAACCTGGAGTTAGTGCTGAATACAGAGGAAGAGCTTAGCATCTAAGCGCCACCCAGATGAATTACAACTTGTTCTTGCCTAAGCTGTTAAAAGTGGTTAATTTTATAAAGTCAAAATCCACAAAGTTGAGGATTTTCAAAGCAATGTATGAAGTGATTATGAATCTTCATTCTACCCTTCTTCTTCATGCATAAGTAAGGTATTACATCTGGCTGTTCTTACCTAGCTGTTCAGACTTAGATTTAGGTTGCATCTCCACTGCCTAAATAATCCAGTTTGACACTGCTTTAACTGCCACAGTTCAGTGCTATGGAATTCTGAGAATTATAGTTAGTACCACAACAAACAACCATTTCCAGAATTCCATAGCATTGAGCTGTGGTAGTTAAAGTGGTATTAAACAGGATTATTTTAGCAATGTGGATGCAACGTCAATCTAGGGTTTATATTTTATTTTATTTTATTATTTATATTTTGGTTTTTTGAAGATCATCCTTTCCAAC